TTAGGCTATAGGGGGGATTTTTTTGAGGCTATAGGGGGGATTTTTTTAGGCTATGCGGGGGATTTTTGAGACTATAGAGGGGATTTTTTTAAGCTTCACGGGGGATTTTTTGAGGATATAGGGGGGATTTTTTGATGCTATACGGGGAATTATTTGAGGCTAAAGGGGGGATTTTTTGAGGCTATAGGGGGGATTTTTTGAGGCTATAGGGGGGATTTTTTGAGGCTATACGGGTGATTTTTTGAGGCTATGCGGGGGATTTTTTGAGGCTATGCGGGGGATTTTTTGAGGCTATATGGGGGATTTTTTTAGGCTATCCGGGGGATTTTTTGAGGCTATAGGGGGGGATTTTTTTAGGCTTTATGGAGGATTTTATGAGGCTTTACGGGGGATTTTTTGAGGCTATAGGGGGATTTTTTGAGGATATGCGGGGGATTTTTTGAGGCTATACGGGGGATTTTTTGAGGCTATGCGGGGATTTTTTTAGGCTATAGGGGGGATTTTTTTAGGCTTTACGGGGGATGTTTTTGAGGCTATAGGGGGGATTTTTTGATGCTATACGGGGAATTATTTGAGGCTATAGGGGGGATTTTTTGAGTCTATAGGGGGGATTTTTTGAAGCTATAGGGGGGATTTTTTGAGGCTATACGGGGGATTTTTTGATGCTATAGGGGGGATTTTTTGAGGCTATGCGGGGGATTTTTTTAGGCTATGCGGGGGATTTTTTGAGGCTATACGGGGGATTTTTTGAGGCTATATCGGGGATTTTTGGAGGCTATAGGGGGGGACTTTTTGAGGCTATAGGGGGGATTTTTTGAGGCTATGCGGGGGATTTTTTGAGGCTATAGGGGGGATTTTTGGAGGCTATAGGGGGGATTTTTTTGAGGCTATAGGGGTGATTTTTTGAGGCTATGTGGGGGATTTTTTGAGGCTATGCGGGGGATTTTTTGAGGCTATAGGGGGACTTTTTGAGGCTATAGGGGGGATTTTTTGAGGCTATGCGGGGGATTTTTTGAGGCTATAGGGGGGATTTTTTGAGGCTATAGGGGGGATTTTTTTGAGGCTATAGGGGGGATTTTTTGAGGCTATAGGGGGGATTTTTTGAGGCTATGCGGGGAATTTTTTGAGGCTATATGGGGGATTTTTGGAGGCTTTACGGGGGATTATTTGAGGCTATATGGGGGATTTTTTGAGGCTATACGGGGGATTTTTGAGGCTATAGGGGGGATTTTTTGAGGCTATAGGGGTGATTTTTTGAGGCTATGTGGGGGATTTTTTGAGGCTATGCGGGGAATTTTTTGAGGCTATATGGGGGATTTTTGGAGGCTTTACGGGGGATTATTTGAGGCTATATGGGGGATTTTTTGAGGCTATACGGGGGATTTTTTGAGGCTATAGGGGGGATTTTTTGAGGCTATAGGGGTGATTTTTTGAGGCTATGTGGGGGATTTTTTGAGGCTATGCGGGGGATTTTTTGAGGCTATAGGGGGATTTTTTGAGGCTATAAGGGGGATTTTTTGAGGCTATACGGGGGATTTTTTGAGGCTATGGGGGGGATTTTTTGAGGCTATAGGGATGATTTTTTGAGGCTATGCGGGGGATTTTTTGAGGCTATAGGGGGGATTTTTTGAGGCTATACGGGGGATTTTTTGAGGCTATGCGGGGAATTATTTGAGGCTATAGGGGGGATTTTTTGAGGCTATAGGGGGGATTTTTTGAGGCTATAGAGGGGATTTTTGAGGCTATACGGGGGATTTTTTGATGCTATGCGGGGAATTATTTGAGGCTATAGGGGGGATTTTTGAGGCTATAGGGGGGATTTTTTGAGGCTATGCGGGGAATTTTTTGAGGCTATATGGGGGATTTTTGGAGGCTTTACGGGGGATTATTTGAGGCTATATGGGGGATTTTTTGAGGCTATACGGGGGATTTTTTGAGGCTATAGGGCGGATTTTTTGAGGCTATAGGGGTGATTTTTTGAGGCTATGTGGGGGATTTTTTGAGGCTATGCGTGGGATTTTTTGAGGCTATAGGGGGATTTTTTGAGGCTATAAGGGGGATTTTTTTAGGCTATACGGGGGATTTTTTGAGACTATAGGGGGGATTTTTTGAGGCTATAGGGATGATTTTTTTAGGCTATGCGGGGGATTTTTTGAGGCTATAGGGGGGATTTTTTGAGGCTATACGGGGGATTTTTTGAGGCTATGCGGGGAATTATTTGAGGCTATAGGGGGGATTTTTTGAGGCTATAGGGGGGATTTTTTGAGGCTATAGAGGGGATTTTTTGAGGCTATACGGGGGATTTTTTGAGGCTATGCGGTGAATTATTTGAGGCTATAGGGGGGATTTTTTTAGGCTATAGGGGGGAATTTTTGAGGCTATATGGGGGATTTTTTGAGGCTATACGGGGGATTTTTTGAGGCTATAGGGGGGATTTTTTGAGGCTATAGGGGTACTTTTTTGAGGCTATGCGGGGGATTTTTTGAGACTATGCGGGGGATTTTTGGAGGCTATATGGGGGATTTTTTTAGGCTATGCGGGGGATTTTTTTAGGCTATGCGGGGGATTTTTTGAGGCTATACTGGGGATTTTTTTAGGCTATACGGGGGATTTTTTGAGGCTATAGGGGAGATTTTTTGAGGCTATACGGGGGATTTTTTGAGGCTATAGGGGGGATTTTTTGAGGCTATACGGGAGATTTTTTTAGACTATAGGGGGGATTTTTTTAGGCTATACGGGGGATTTTTTAAGGCTATAGGGGAGATTTTTTGAGGATATGCGGGGGATTTTTGGAGGCTATGCGGGGGATTTTTTGAGGCTATGCGGGGGATTTTTGGAGGCTATACGGGGGATTTTTTGAGGCTATGCGGGGGATTTTTGGAGGCTATACGGGGGATTTTTTGAGGCTATGCGGAGATTTATTTTAGGCTATAGGGGGTATTTTTTGAGGCTTATAGGGGGGATTTTTTCCTGAACCGGTTCGGAGCCAGCATAGGTCGACTCAGCCCTAAATGGTCACCTGGCGTGGGCGAGACAACCATCAGCATTGGAGAGACAAATGCCGCCGGGTGTAGATCTGGCCCAAAGCCGTAGCCATGCAGTCAACATTGGGGGGGGGACCAAATCTTCCAGGGGGTTTGGGGGTCCCCCCCCCCCAGAAATAATCTACATTTGAAAAGGAATTTCCTTCCATTTCCTGCCTAAAACATAAAAAATTTTACTAACACATAAGGATAGACTGTTTATTGATTTTTTACAACAATGTCTAATCGTGTATTGTATTACATTGCTCTGTTTTTTTATATTTTATCTTTTCTTGTTTCAGTGTATGTAATGGCAGAGATTAGGGATTTATAAAGTACAACCATAACCACAATCATATCAACAGAAATCTATTTTATAGCAACATATTGGGGGGGGGCGGGGGACATTTTGAGCATATTTGAATATTGGGGGGGATGTCCCCCCCCCCCAATTTATATTATAATCACGGCCTTGATTTACGGGATTGTTGGGACAAGTGCTGTTGGCGAGCGGCGCCTATGAAGGCCGGCACGGCGCACGAGGCGGTGGGTGGCCAGCACCCCCAGTGCTGATGTTTACATGCCGCGGCAATGTACGCATTTAATGCTGAGTCGACCTAGGGGAGGGCCAAACCCAATTACGTCCTTGATTTGGCCACATAGCCCACCATGTGCGCCATGCCGACCTTCTGTTTGCTCGCTAACAGCACTTGCCCTAGCAACCTCTGGAGGTGACATACGGGCAGTGGCGGATTGTCCTAGTAGCACAAGTAGCTACATATGTAGTAGCTACATATGTAGTAGCTACATGTGTGTAGTAGCTATGCAGTAGCTACTACACATATGTAGTAGCTGCTACATGTATAGTAGTTACTACACGTGTAGTAGCTGCTACATATGTAGTAGCTACATATGTAGTAGCTACTACACGTGTAGTAGTTACTACACGTGTAGTAGCTACTACACGTGTAGTAACTACTACACGTGTAGTAACTACTACGTGTATAGGTAGCTACGGGCCCCGCACTTTCAAGGGCCCCGCGCTAAATGCTTTCAAGCTATTAATTCCGGTTCAGTGATTCTGCACTTGCTCATTTGAGGCTGAGTCGACCTAGGGGTACCGGTTCAGATTAATCGTCACCGGTGTTGGCCGTGAGCGGCAATCGAACTCGGGTCGCCGGGTTCGTAGCGCAGCGTAGCGCTAACCGCTACACCACCGCTCCCCACTTAACACACACACACACATGCGCACTCACACACACTGACACGCACACGCCACACACCCACGACCCCTATGGAATTATAAACATGCGAATGTTTTTTTTTTTAAAGCATAATGAACGTCAACGTCGACGCAGCAACGTGTACCTGTCGGGGATACGTGACCCAGTGCGTTGTTGTGACCTCGTATTTTTACCCTGACCTATGAACGTGGTGGACCCATACCATATCAGACACCACCCACACACCACCCACACCCACCCACCCTCGCAGCTCAAGCCTGCGTTTCGAGGCAGACCGCGTAGCGCGACTCCCGTGGGCTCCTGACGCTCCTCGATGCGTGTGCAGCGCGCTCGCAGCTTATCCACGTCCGATGTCACACAATGATCGCTCGATTCCTTTAAGCCTAGGGGACCTCCCAAGGGCAGCTTGCGCCTCCGATTAGCGCGGTTTGGCTACGGGCGGTGCGACAGAGGTGCCGCCTTGCACACGGACACGAACTACATCGGCGGATCCCATTTCAAACGAACTCTTTGACTCTCCGTGACTTTTCATTCTCGAGCCAGACGCCAAATTGCCCACGACACTGGTGTAGGCGACTTGAGGAGACACGCGGCGGAGGGGATGACGGCGTTGGTGGTGCGGGCAAGGGGGCTGGTGGTGACGGCGGTAGTGGCGGCGGTGGTGACGGTGGTGACGGAGCCGCGCGGATCGCTCGGCTTCCCCACGGGCGCTCCCGAGGAGGTGTGCGAGGACATGACCCCGCAGCACGACGGCTCGAACGCTTTCGCGGCCAGCCCCTACTCGCTCTACACCAGCCACGCCGCCTTCTCCTCCGGCTCCAGGATCCAGGGTGGGTCGCGAGTTCGGCGCGCTCCGTGCGTGTGCGTTCGTGTGTGTGTGTGCGTGTCTGCGTGTGTGTGTCTGCGTGTGTCTGTGGCAAAACAACCCCCTACCTCCTCGCGGTGCCGGACGGGCAACTCTGTCGTGGACAGTGCTGTGGGGAGAGGGCCAATTCCGATTGGCCCTCTCCCCTCATGGTGTCTGTGACCACCACAGTGGCTAAGCGGGGGCTCTGGACGGGTGCGAGGGGCTGGTAACCCCTCCACCTTCAAAAAATTACAACGAAACGACTTAAACATATAACTAATAAGCTTGTGCCGGAGGCCCCGGGGGTACAGGCGTCTATGACGTCTCCTGGCCAAACCCCAATTGGCGGAGCCAGGAGATTGAATCTCTACCCTCGGGACTCCTCCAGAAACAACGAAAAGCCGCTTCATGTGGCCACGTGGAATGTTCGAATGCTCACTGCGGAGGAGAGGCTGCCACTCCTCTGTCGGGAGCTGGACCGGTACCACCTGGATCTCTGTGGCATCCAGGAGGTCCGGTGGACCGGTTCTGGCTCCTGCCACCATGAGGGGTGGACAGTCCTCTACTCGGGGCAGCAGACTGCCAAACAACAGTGTGTGGCTCTTCTTTTGAACAAAAGAATGAAGGGTGCGTGGGAGCGTGGCGGTAAGGTGTGGGAAGCTGTAAGCCCCAGGCTACTTTGGGCTCGCCTTCCCATTAACCGGAGGCGAGGAGTGGTGGTCATGGTTACTTATGCTCCCACCGAAGACGAACATCCGTGGAGTGATGCAGGCAAAGCCGATGAGTCAGATGCCTTTTATGACCTCCTGTCACAGGTGCTGGCTAAAGTGGCCCCTCAGGATAGAGTCATCTTGTTGAGTGACTTCAATGCCCGAGTTGGTCATGATGCTGGCACCTGGTCTGGAGTGATTCGAGAGCATGGGCCAGATCAGCTCAATAACAACGGTAGGAGGCTGCTAGATTTTTGTGCAGCCCATGGGCTCGTAATTACCAACACGCTGTTCCGGCATCGGCGCATCCACACAACATCATGGATGCATGCCGGGTCCAAGCAAAAACATCTGCTGGACTACATAGTGACGGACCAGCGGATGCGAGCCCATGTCCTTGAAACCAGGACCTACCGTGGAGCTGATCTGCCCTCTGACCATCTGTAAGATGCGCCTGCCATTCTTCCACTCCGGTGGTGGGTGTATACCCAGGACCCCATTCCAACCTAAAGTGGCCTGGTCTCAGTTAGCTGATGAAAGTTGCAAGTGAGAATTTCATCATCGCTTGTGGCTGGGGTTGGCATCGTCCCCCACTCCTCCTGATGTCGAGGGTATATGGGCGAGATTTAGGACTGTGACTCATGCAGCTGCAATGGCTGCTTTGGGTACGTGGTCCAGACCTCCCCAGAGACCCTGGCTGACAGTGGAGGTGTTCAAGATAGTTGACAAAAAGCGACAGGCCAACTGTCATCGGCTACAGAATCCCACGTCAGAGAATGATGAGGCTTACCGCAGCCTTCGCCGGAGGTTCGGAGAGCCGTGAGGCGCCGCAAGGATGGGTGGTGGTCGCGGGTTGCTGAGGAGATGGAGTCTGCCTCAGTGGCCCGCGATCACAAATCTTTATTTAACTCCATCAAAAAAGTAACCTGCAGCCCCACACCTATTACCATCATCTGTTTCAAAGAACAAATTTGACCTCAGGTCTTCGCTCATTTACCAGCTTCACATTCCCTATTGCCGTACAAAAACTGGAGGAAGGGCCTTTGCTATTGATGCCCCCAAAGTTTGGAATGCTATTGCCAATAAACTGCAACTTGAATCGCTACCAATGAGATCTTCTCTCAAAACTGCTCTAGAGGAGTTGTACACCCCTAGCTACCACTGCTATTCATTGGCATGAAATAAAATAAAATGTTTCGCTCCGGATGACGCTGCAAAGTATTATCTGTATTTTGATTTAGCGTGCTGATCTTAAAGGTGCATTGAAAATGTTGATACTCCGACCGATGCTTATGTTATTGTGGAGTAACTCATGCAGCCAGCTATGGCTCTAGGATTTGGTGTTACATGTTATTTATGTAGTTTATTGTAAAAATTCGGTCATAGTCCTTGTGATCACTGTTACGTTGCAATTATGGCTTTATTTTTTTGGTGATTTGGAAAACTTTTTTTTGGTTTGGACATGTTTGTTTTGTTGTAGTACGGAGTTAGACTGATGGCCTTAATCTAAGTTTTTGTGGTTGTTGTTTGACTTGCATCCCACTGGGATTTTTTGCACACAGCGTTGGTGTACGGTGCTTTTTTCAGGAATATTTTTGCTGTTTTTTTCCCATGGATTTTCTGTTAGCACAGTCACATATTCACTTTAAGATGTTTTTTTTCGTGTTTTTTTTTTGTTGTGGTTGCACCCGATTCAAGAGCCGAATTGCTCACAGGGCTATACCAAAATAAACTGAACTGATATTAGGAGAAAAAAATGGTGTTCCAATCTCCGACCCTCAGGAATAGGTTTGCAGATTTGCTGAGCATTCCTGTGAGGTCCTGGGGGAGGGGAAACCCCTCAGCCAGGAAAACATCGTGGCACAAAGTGGGGATGCCCCTGCTGAGGCTGCCGTGCCTCAAATATTACAAGAAGTCACCCCCTGTGAGTGGCTGGCTGAGGTGCCATCTGTTGAGGAAGTACTGAAGGCGATCCGGAGTCTGAGACCAGGAAAGGCACCGGGCAGAGATGATCTCCCAAGCGAAATGCTGAGGGAGGGTGGCGTTTGTGCACAGACTGCCCTATATGACATCATGGCAGCGGTCTGGACCACTGGACGGGTTCCGCAGGATTGGAAGGATGCCCTGGTGGTCCCCCTCTTTAAGAAGGGGGACCGCACAGACTGTAACAACTACAGGGGCATCTCACTCCTCAGTGTGCCGGGAAAGGTCCTGGCAAGGATTATTCAACATCGCCTTGCCAGGCACGCAGAGGAGAGGCTTGGTTTCAGGAAAGGGCGGTCCTGCACGGATGCCATAATTTCTGTCCGTCTGCTAAAGCAGAGGTGTAGGGAATTCCAACAAGACCTACATCTCTGCTTTATTGAACTGGTCAAGGCCTCTGATGCCATCAGTAGGCCTGGGCTCTGGGTTGTTCTTCGTGCTTTTGGAGTCCCTGACCCCCTGCTCACGATCATTAAGGACCTTCATGATGGTGAGCGGGCCCGGGTAAAACTACGTGGCCGGGAGTCAGAGCCATTCCCTGTACACCTTGGGGTGCGACAGGGATGTCCTCTGGCTCCCACATTATTTAACATCTATTTTGACCACGTAGTTCGTGAAGCCTTCAATAGCTGTACCGGGGGAATCTCTATTTGGTAGAGATATAATGGGAGGCTGAACGATGCCCGGGTGCGGTCAAGGGATGGCTCCCTATTGCTCAACCACATTATGTATGCCGATGATTTGTTAATAGCTGCTCATTCAGAGGAGGAGTTGGAGACGCTGCTGCTGAGTCTGGAGCGTGCGACTAAGAGATGGGGCCTTACCATCAGCCCCACCAAAACTAAGCACCTGCCTGGGTATTTTGTACCATCGGACACTCCACCACCACAACTCCCAATCGGTGATGGAGCAGTTGTGGAGAGAGTGAAAAGTTTCCCATACCTGGGCAGTGTGCTTATGACCGGCTCCAGTTTAACAGCAGAGGTCTCACTACGAATCAGTCGAGCGGCAATATCTTTTCATCGGTTGCGTAACGCTGTGTGGAAGCTACCTGGTCTGTCGCTCCGCACTAAGCTTCAGGTCTTCTCGGCCACAGTCATTCCCTCCCTTCTCTACGCTAGCGAAACGTGAACCCCCCTAATGGAACATTTTCGCTGGTTAGAAACATTTAGGCCGGCCTGCCTACAATCAATACTGGGTTTAACCAGGCTGGATTGTGTGAAGAGCTCACAAATCCTCGAACGATCTGGACAAAGTCCTATAGGTGAGCACCTCCGGCAGGCAAAGCTGCGTTGGCTGGGCCATGTAGCCCGCATGCCCAATCACCGCATGCCCAAACCGCTTTTGTTCGGCCGGATCGAGGGGGATAAACGGGCGAAACAAAAATTCACGAACACATAGGATGGACTTTTTATTTATGTTTTACAATAATGTTTAATAGTGTATTGTATTACATTGCTCTGTTTCATTGTATGTAATACCAGAGATTAGGGATTAATAAAGTACAACCATAACCACAATCATATAAACAGAAATCTATTTTATAGAAATATATTGGGGGGGACATTTTGAGCATATTTGAATATTGGGGGGGATGTGTCCCCCCCCAATTTCTATCATAATTACGGCCTTGCTCCACTCTAAATATCATATCATGGCTGCATGTTAACGATATATTCAATTGGATGCTCCGTTCTAGATGTGACGGTCTGTTGATGATCAATCCAATTGGATGCTCCATTCTCGAACTCATGTCAGCATGCCGACCAACATACCGAACATAACCCAGTTAAGTTAGAGGCTTCATACTGTTGAGAAAAGTAAGTGGCTTGGCACCGCATCGCACGCTTTCGAAGCGCTTCAGCGGCCGTCCGGAACGCTCTTCCCGAAATCAGGAAACTGCGTCCGGAGCTTTGCGCTTTTAAATCGTGATGTGAAAACTCCCCGTCCTCGGTACCGCCTGCGGTTGTTCAGGTTTGTCGGCCTTCCCACCGCGTGCGTGCCGGCGCACCTCCGATCAGCGCGGTTGGCTCAGCGTGACCGCGGCGAGCGCCCTCGCTCGCGTGATGGCGACGATGACGATGACGACGATGACGATGATGATGATGATGACGACGACGATGACGACGACAATGACGATGACGACGATGATGATGATGATGACGATGACGACGATGACGATGACGATGATGACGATGACGATGACGACGATGATGACGACGATGACGACGACGATGACGATGACGACGACGACAATGACGACGACAATGACTACGACAATGACGATGATGACGACAATGATGACGAAGACGATGATGACGACGATAACGACAACAACGATGACGACGACGATGATGATGACGACGATGACGACGACAATGACGACGACAATGACGATGACGACGATGATGACGACAATGATGACGAAGACGATGACGACGACGATGACGATGACGACGATGACGATGACGACGATGACGACGACAATGACGACGACAATGACGATGACGACGATGATGACGACGTTGATGACGATGATGACGACGACGATGACGATAATGACAACGACAATGACGATGACGACAATGACAACGACAATGACGACGACGATGACGACGACGATGACGATGACGACAATGACGATGACGACGATGCTTGTGCGTTGCAGTCAGAATCGTGGGCACGTACGAGGGCTTCCTGCTGCAGGCGCGGGTCACCAACACCACGACGGTCGTGGGCAGCTGGGACACCCCGCCCCATGGGACTCGACACCTCCTGGTACCGCTGCCTGGCCCCTGCTTCGTTTTGTCCACGGGGAACGTTTTATTTATTTTGTTAACCGGGTAAGGCCCCCACTGAACTATATAGCTCGTTTGCAGAAGCGTCCTGGCCGTCACAAATTATAGGGATGGTGAGGAGGTGAGGGATGGTGGGGAGGTGAGGGATGGTGGGGAGGTGAGGGATGGTGAGGAGGTGAGGGATGGTGGGGAGGTGAGGAACGTGGGAGGTGTGGGATGTAGGCTATATGTAGTGAGTAGAATGTAGAGCGAGACTTCCTTAGAGGCAACACGTTTATTATAACAAGGGTAACCTTCCACCCGACACGCTATGGAGGTATATCCTCCGGGCTGATGCGCCCCAACAATGTGGAGGCTGACGTCGATCCGAACCTGGCTGGGGTCCGGGTCTCGTCTTCGGGCTCCCCGTCAGGGTGACGGCTTCGGGTCTTCGAGTGCACAACAGCAACCGGAGCCGTTCAGGGGTCCGGCCTGTATAGCCAGTCCCGGCTCTCCCCGCCCCTAGCCACGCCCTCCTTCTCGAAACTCCGAGAAGGACCTCGGCTGTGGACACGTCATCCCCCCAGGCCCCTTTTGGGGGGCCCTGGGGTCCGTACCTCCGGTCACGAGCCCCCCCCCCCCCCCAACTGGGTTCAACTCGAGTACCAAAGTCCAGCTCGATCCGGGCACTCGTCCGCCCCCTGTCGTCCTCGGGCTGGCACTACATCCGGGGCAGCAGTGGCATCACCCAGTAATGCCACTACACATACAATAAATAGATCGCTGCAATCGCGGGACGGGATTGAGAGTTTCGCGAGGGACAGGAGGGCGAGGGAGAGCCACCGTCTCTGTCGTGTCGCGCAGTGCACGACCCTCGACGGCGCGGTGACTCACTCGAGCAAGGTGGACAAGCACGACCAGAACTTCACGTGGATTGCCCCCGCGTCCAGCCCGGCCGGCTCCATACAGTTTGTGTGGGGGCCTCGCCCTCACATGCAGCCACAGATGGGCCCCGTCTGAATGAGCAACGCGCCCACTCGCCCAGCAGACTCGCTCACCGTGCCACTCACCCCGCTCGCCCTCGCCCACCAGACTCGCTCACCGTGCCACTCACCCCGCTCGCCCACCGACTTGCTCACCGTGCCACTCACCCGCTCGCCCACCAGACTCGCTCACCCACTCACCCACCGAATCGCTCACCGTGCCACTCACCCGCTCGCCCACCGACCCGCTCACCGTTCCACTCACCCCCCCCCCCTCGCCCACCAGACTTGCTCACCGTTCCACTCACCCGCTCGCCCACCGACTCACTCACAGTCCCACTCACCCACTCACCCACCGACTTGTTCACCGTCCCACTCACCCACTCACCCACCGACTCACTCACAGTCCCACTCACAGTCCCACTCACCCACCGACCTGTTCACCGTGCCACTCACCGACTCACCCACCAGACTCGCTCACCGTTCCACTCATCCCACTCGCTGACCGACTCGCTCACCGTCCCACTCACCCACTCACCCACCGACTTGTTCACCGTTCCACTCACCCACTCACCCACCGACTCACTCACCGTGCCACTCACCCGCTCGCCCACCGACTTGCTCACCCACTCACCCACCGACTTGTTCACCGTTCCACTCACCCACTCACCCACCGACTCACTCACCGTGCCACTCACCCGCTCGCCCACCGACTTGCTCACCCACTCACCCACCGACCCGCTCACCGTTCCACTCACCCGCTCACCCACCGACTCATTCACCTTCCCACTCACCCACTCACCCACCGACTTGCTCACCGTCCCACTCACCCGCTCGCCCACCGACTTGCTCACCCACTCACCCACCGACTCGCTCACCGTTCCACTCACCCACTCACCCACCGACTCACTCACAGTCCCACTCACTCACTCACTGACCGACTCGCCCACAGTACCACTCACCCACCGACTAGGCTCACCGTCGCACTCACCCACCGACTCGCCCATAGTCCCACTCACCCACTCACCCACCGACTCACTCACCTTCCCACTCACCCACTCGCCCACCGACTCACTCACAGTCCCACTCACTCACTCACTGACCGACTCGCCCACAGTCCCACTCACTCACTGTCCCATTCACCCACCGACTCACTCACCGTCCCAATCACTCACTCACACAGTCACTCAATCACCCACTCATCTACAAATATCATCGACTCAATTACTCCCCACTCATCACAGACTCACACATATACCCATATACTTACACATGGATCTATAGACTCACAACCCATATACTTACACATGGATCAATAGACTCACACATAGACCTATAGAGAGAGTCATATATTTCACATAGAGACAAATAAATTCACACAGAGAGCCGCATACTTACACAGGGACCTTTTAAACCACGCAGTGACTCATAGACTAATACACAGACCAATAAACTCGCACAAATAGGCATAGACGCACAAAGTGACCCACAGACTCACACTGACACCCATGTACTCACACATAGACCCATAGACTCACACGGATATCCACAGACTTACACAGAGACCGATAAACTCATACAGCGACTCATACACTCAGAATCAGAATCTTTATTTATGCTGGAGGAATCTGATGAGCTATAAGGCTCCTTTTAACAGATGTCCAGTTGGGGCTGGTCAGAAGTTACAACTACAAACACGACAACAACACAACAGGAGTGCAAAGTAGAGGAAATGACAGAAAAGCACTACATATATGTTTATTTTGCCTGGAAAGACCCACTGGGCTCTATAGCTCTTTCTTACAAGTGGCTGTCACAAATGATAGCTCAACGAAGTGACTCAACGAAAGTGGCTCATCACACAGAGACCCATAGACTCCTCACCTAGAGACCCACAGACTCACACAGAGACCCATAGACCCATCACACAGAGACCCATAGACTCACACGGAAAACCCATAGACTCATTCAGAGACCCACAGACTCACACGGAGACCCGCAGACTCCTCACACAGAGACCCACAGACTCCTCACACAGAGACCCATAGACTCACACAGAGACCCACAGACTCACACAGAGACCCACAGACTCACACGGAGACCCACAGACTCACACGGAGACCCACAGGCTCACACGGAGACCCACAGGCTCCTCACACAGAGACCCAAAGACTCACACAGAGACCCACAGACTCACACAGAGACCCATAGACTCACACGGAGACCCACAGACTCACGCAGAGACCCACAGACTCACACGGAGACCCATAGACTCACACGGAGACCCACAGACTCACACAGAGACCCATAGACCCATCACACAGAGACCCATAGACTCACACAGAGACCCATAGACTCACACAGAGACCCACAGGCTCACACAGAGACCCACAGACTCACACGGAGACCCACAGGCTCCACACACAGAGACCCATAGACTCACACAGAGACCCACAGACTCACACAGAGACCCATAGACTCACACGGAGACCCACAGACTCACACAGAGACCCACAGACTCACGCAGAGACCCACAGACTCACACAGAGACCCATAGACTCACACGGAGACCCACAGACTCACGCAGAGACCCACAGACTCACACGGAGACCCATAGACTCACACGGAGACCCATAGACTCACACAGAGACCCACATACTCACACGGAGACCCACAGGCTCCTCACACAGAGACCCATAGACTCATATGGAGAACCCACAGCGTCACACAGAGACCCATAGACATCTGTGCCTACAGGGCGACCGTGATCAAGGAAAAGCTGGAGTGGCAGATGAACGTGACGTCATCCATCATCACAACTACAGGTCTGTGCATGTGAATACCGTGCATTACCTCATCCATCTGGCGGCCTGCCTGTAACGGGGGATGGTGGGGGGGGGTTATGTTAATTGCAGAAGTGGATGGGATTGGCTGAGTTGGGTGTGACTATGTAGAAGTGGGCGGGGATAGTGGCTGAGTGGGTGTGACTATGCAGAAGTGGGCAGAGATAATGGCTGAGTGGGTGTGGCTATGCAGAAGTGGGCGGGGATAGTGGCTGAGTGGGTGTGACAATGCAGAAGTGGGCGGGGATAGTGGCTGAGTGGGTGTGACTATGTAGATGTAGGTGGGGATAGTGGCTGAGTGAGTGTGACAATGCAGAAGTGGGCGGGGATAGTGGCTGAGTGGGTGTGACTATGTAGATGTAAGTGGGGATAGTGGCTGAGTGGGTGTGGCTATGCAGAAGTGGGCGGGGATAGTGGCTGAGTGGGTGTGACAATGCATAAGTGGGCGGGGATAGTGGCTGAGTGGGTGTGACAATGCAGAAGTGGGCGTGGATAGTGGCTGAGTGGGTGTGACAATGCATAAGGGGGCGGGGCTGATGGTATTCAGGGTTGAGAGCCTTGAATCGATCTCGTCCGTTCCTGACCAAAGTTCCTTTGCCTGCGTGTGCGCAACTGTAGGCTACGTCGCACCTTCCAAGGCGCCAGCTAAAACCACCACCAAGAAAACCACCACCGAGAAGCCTGGCAGCTCAGCTGACTGCCTGGCTGCCCCGGTGTTGTGGCTGACCCTGGGTGCTTTGCTCACAGCCGCCACAGCTGCGTGTGGCGTTTAATCCGGGAGATGCGGTCAGAGAGTGTGAGAGTGAGAGGAGAGAGTCCCATGATGGAAGCTGTCACACACTCTCACATCACGTCACAATGCTGGTGAAACCACACACGCCACAACGCAGATGATACTCACCGCACCACACCGCAAACAACCGCCAAGCACACACCGCAATGCAGCCAACATTAAACATCAGCTGCTCAACGCCAGCTACTCACCACCTGCGTGTGTCTCCACGCAACTCTCGTTCTGGTTTCTATATAGGTCTGTGGGTATCGCCTGCTGGGTGGTGGTGGTCGTGGTCGTGGTGGTCGTGGTGCTTTGCCCGTAGATTCCTTTTTGCCGTTCGTCTGCTTCGCGTCCCCATCTTCTGCAGGGGTCGCCTCTAGCGACACGAGAGTTCCCTCTGCACCACACTCCGACAAACGCGACACACGTGCGCGTCTGTCTGTCTGTGTGTGTGTCTGTGTGTGTGCCGAACCCACAGTGGGGAGCGGTGGTGCAGCGGTTAGCGCTACGCTGCGCCACGAACCCCGGCCCACACGGGTTCGATTCCAGCTCACGGCCAACACCCAGTGACGATTATCTGAACCGGTCCCGGGCCTCCCCTAGATCGACTCAGCCTCAAATGAGTACCTGGTGCGGTGGATAAAAACATTGCCACTGGGGAGACTAAGGCGGTCGGGCGTGGTGCTGGCCACCCCACCCCCTCGTATGCCAATGCCGGCCTTCATAGGTGAGGCTCGCTAACAGCACTTGCCCCTACAGTCTGTTACAGGCTACACGGGGGATCTTTATCTTTGTGCTGAAACCACAGCGGGATCCAAAACCTGCACCGCCATCCTTCTTAAGTGGGGTCCCAGTTCTCCGAGGGTGAAGGGGGTGGGGGTGTTGCCGAACTTTGGGTGAAAAGGGGCCGTCCATAAATGACGTCACGCACCTTGTGTTGGGGGGGGGTCAGACATTTGTGACGATGTGTGACGAGGGGGGAGGGGGGGGTTTGAGAAATGTGACGTCACATCAAAATGCGCAACTTTAAATAAATATAGAATTGTCCTAACAACACTAATTGTGTTATAACAACACTCCTACAACATCAGAGTGCAGCGCCACATGAAATACGCACTACAATGACAATAGTTTAAAGCGATTTGAAGCATGTTTTATTTTAAAAATGGAAATATGTTTTTTGGGGGGGGGGGGCGGAGGGGGGCAGAGCTTTGTGACGTCATATTTGAGGGGGAGGGTCTGACTTTTTGTGACGCCGTGTGACGAGGGGTGGGGGGGAGGTCAAAAAACGTCCAAAATCGCGTGACGTCATTTAGGGACGACCCCTAAGAAAATAAACCTCTTCGCGTTTTAGGCTACCGTAACGTGACGCAGTTTCATGCTCTGTGCAGGTCGTTGTTTTGCGTTTGCTGCTGCTGCTGCTGTGTGAGGGTTTTTTGGGGTGTCGTTGCACGTGTAACCAGTGTGGTTGTGTTACTAATACATGGTGCAAAAAAAAATCAGCGCCGGATTATTCTCGTAGCAAAAGTAACTGCAAATGCCACGGGCCCCGCGAGAAATGCTTTCAAGCTATCAATTCCGTTTCAGTAAATCTACACTTGCTCTATTACTATAGTACTGTACCGCCTTCAACTTTTACGAACGACTGGGCGTTTAAAGTTAGCGATTTGTCATTTTATCCGGCTGTATAGCATATGAAAAAAACTACAATTACTTTACTGTGCAAGTTAAAAAATTAGTTTTTAATTTTGATTTAAAGCTTTCGTGACTGCAGGGATTCATAATCTTGGTTCTTTCGGTAAAGTCACCCACGTAGAAGGGAAACAATAAAATAATAAAATAATAAAATATATAAAGCAATAAAATTATCACGACGTTTCGACTGCAACACAAGCAATCATCATCAGGTGTGAAAACCACAACAATAAAAAATATTGTTTCCCTTCTACGTGACCTTTAAAAATTTGTGCTTTAATCTTTTTTTTTAAAATTTAGGGCCCCTTTATAACAACATGTGCTACAGGCCCCGCACTCGCTTCATCCGGCACTGCATATATTCGATATTCGCGCGACCAAATCAATTGGTGGGCGTTCACCCCTTGCGAGGTTTAATATGGGCGGCACGCTAGGCCACGCCCTTCGTCAAATGCGGGTGAGGCAGGCACCGGATTGCATTGCCAGAGTCACGCGGACACTGGATGAGATGTATTCACTAAGGATCTTGATTTGAAGCTTTCGTGACTGCAGGAATCCATGCTCCTTGGTTCTTTGGGTAAAATCACGTAGGTAGAAAATGAAATGAATCACGACGTTTTGGGCGCAACACAAGCGTCCTTCAGCAGGTGCCTCAGCCTCAACAGCAGGACCACGCCTTCCCACCTGATGATCTGCTTCAGCTTCAACAGCAGGACCACGCCTTCCCACCTGATGATCTGATTCAGCCTCAACAGAAGGACCACGCCTTCCCACCTGATGATCTGATTCAGCCTCAACAGCAGGACCACGCCTTCCCACCTGATGATCTGCTTCAGCTTCAACAGCAGGACCACGCCTTCCCACCTGATGATCTGTCTCACCCTCAGCAGCAGGACCACGCCTTCCCACCTGATGATCTGATTCAGCCTCAACAGCAGGACCACGCCTTCCCACCTGATGATCTGTCTCAGGCTCAACAGCAGGACCACGCCTTCCCACCTGATGATCTGTCTCAGCCTCAACAGCAGGACCACGCCTTCCCACCTGATGATCTGTCTCAGGCTCAACAGCAGGACCACGCCTTCCCACCTGATGATCTGTCTCAGCCTCAACAGCAGGACCACGCCTTCCCACCTGATGATCTGTCTCAGCCTCAACAGCAGGACCACACCTTCCCACCTGATGATCTGTCTCAGCCTCAACAGTAGACCACGCCTTCCCACCTGATGATCTGCTTCAGCCTCAACAGCAGGACCACGCCTTCCCACCTGATGATCTGCTTCAGCCTCAACAGCAGGACCACGCCTTCCCACCTGATGATCTGCTTCAGCCTCAACAGCAGGACCACGCCTTCCCACCTGATGATCTGCTTCAGCCTCAACAGCAGGACCACGCCTTCCCACCTGATGATCTGATTCAGCCTCAACAGCAGGACCACGCCTTCCCACCTGATGATCTGCTTCAGCCTCAACAGCAGGACCACGCCTTCCCACCTGATGATCTGATTCAGCCTCAACAGCAGGACCACGCCTTCCCAACCTGATGATCTGCTTCAGCCTCAACAGCAGGACCACGCCTTCCCACCTGATGATCTGCTTCAGCCTCAGCAGCAGGACCACGCCTTCCCACCTGATGATCTGCTTCAGCCTCAACAGCAGGACCACGCCTTCCCACCTGATGATCTGATTCAGCCTCAACAGCAGGACCACGCCTTCCCACCTGATGATCTGATTCAGCCTCAACAGCAGGACCACGCCTTCCCACCTGATGATCTGATTCAGCCTCAACAGTAGACCACGCCTTCCCACCTGATGATCTGATTCAGCCTCAACAGCAGGACCACGCCTTCCCACCTGATGATCTGCTTCAGCCTCAACAGCAGGACCACGCCTTCCCACCTGATGATCTGATTCAGCCTCAACAGCAGGACCACGCCTTCCCACCTGATGATCTGATTCAGCCTCAACAGCAGGACCACGCCTTCCCACCTGATGATCTGCTTCAGCCTCAACAGCAGGACCACACCTTCCCACCTGATGATCTACTTCAGCCTCAACAGCAGGACCACGCCTTCCCACCTGATGATCTGATTCAGCCTCAACAGCAGGACCACGCCTTCCCACCTGATGATCTGTCTCAGCCTCAACAGCAGGACCACGCCTTCCCACCTGATGATCTGCTTCAGCCTCAGCAGCAGGACCACACCTTCCCACCTGATGATCTGATTCAGCCTCAACAGCAGGACCACGCCTTCCCACCTGATGATCTGATTCAGCCTCAACAGCAGGACCACGCCTTCCCACCTGATGATCTGATTCAGCCTCAACAGAAGGACCACGCCTTCCCACCTGATGATCTGCTTCAGCCTCAACAAAAGGACCACGCCTTCCCACCTGATGATCTGCTTCAGCCTCAACAGTAGACCATGCCTTCCCACCTGATGATCTGCTTCAGCCTCAACAGTAGACCATGCCTTCCCACCTGATGATCTGCTTCAGCTTCAACAGTAGACCATGCCTTCCCACCTGATGACGGACGCTTGTGTTGTGCCCGAAACGTCGTGATTTATTGTATTTGATACCTACGTGATTTTACCGAAAGAACCAAAGAATATGGATTCCTAAGGATGTTGAAGAGAAGCGGAGGCATGTATCGTAACGCCAGCATGTCGATATTACAGGTCTATTCGCGTACCTGTGTGCGTACCTGTGTGCTGGGAGCCGGATGAACAAACAGTGGTACGCGCTGCCAATAAAGTGATTCCTTGCAAAAAGATTTCTGTTTGGTGCGTGAACATCTTAACACAGGGGTCGGGAACCTTTTTGACTAAGAGAGCCATGAAAGCAAAAAATTTGGAAATTTATTTCAGTGAGAGCCATATAATATATTTTAAAAGTGAATTCAACTAAATGTCAGTATAATAAGCCTCTGAATTTATTCTTTTAAATAATGTTGTTATAACACTCACCATTAATGCGACTTCTGGTGCTGCATGGATTTGCTGATGTCTTTGTAGTCGGGTTGGTACTTGGTGAGGTTAAGCTTCATGCAAGCGTTGAGGCTTTCATCCGTTAAACGTGATCGTAGGTTGGACTTGATGTTTTTAAGATGTGAGAATGACTGCTCACATGCATATGTAGATCCAAACATGGTCAATACAGCAATACTCACACGCTGCAGTGTGTGGTATGTGACAGGAAGCGCGTTCCAAGTTTTGAGAATCAGCTGGTCTTCGGGTTGGAGTTTTTTCATTTCTGTCCACATGTGCTTGCTCGCCAACTCCGCTTTCTGTCGTGTGATTCTTTCCAAATCTTCATTCAGTGACTTGAACTTATTCACCCACATGTCTGAGGCCTTCAGGTCAGCCACTTCTGCTTCAAAATCTCTGACGGAGACACCAGGGATGTAATTCAGGTCGGCTGTGTTCAGTGAACACTCGTTTGGATGGGTGATGAACTTAAAAAGACGATTGTGCTCACGAAATTCTCCAAAGCGTGCTTTGAAGGACTGTAGGAGACTGGATGTGCAGCCAGCTAGCTGGTGGAGATCAAGGTTTTGAATGGGCTCACTTGCTGTGCATGCATCTTTAAATTGGCTCAGTTTTCAAAATGTAGTAAACGACCTGTTTCAAGATCCGTGATGAAAAGCTCCAGCTTGTTTTCAAAAGCAAATACAGCTTGTTGAAGGGATAACACTGTATTTCCAATGCCTTGCATTTTCACGTTGAGCTGGTTCAGATGTTCAGTCAGATCTACGAGATAG